GCCCCCACTGACCTGCCTTCTCAATGACAACCAATCAGGATATGGCTCTCCTGGTCATTGACTGAGGCTGCACTTCCTGTTAGACTCCCTGCCCTCCGCCCTACCAGTCATATTGAGTACCAGCCCCCACTGCGTAAAGGGCACATCCATCTGTAAATAAAACCCCACAATCCCCTTTAAAAAGGAGGGCTGGGAAACAGCCCTGTTTGAGAGATCAACAAATAAACTGCGGTTGACATGTGGACAGATCAAGAAAGATGACTTTACCCCAAAGGGTTAATTTCATAATGTATGCCAGTATTCCAGAAAATGAACAATCCTGCTCCCCATAAGCATTTGGCTCAATCTGGTTGATCTAAATTTAAATTTAAACATTGTTTATTACCCTCATTTTAAAACCCCTACCACATTCATCAGTATACCACCACTTTATATTGTTTCATTGGTAACATAAGAGAAAAAATGACTATTACTCATATTTAATCTATGCACAACCACAAGGGCTCCTGATTAGGCTTTAAGCTATGCAATGTTGAATGTTATCTGTGCTCTTTCCCCTTTCTTTTTGTTTAAAACAATTCATGAACCAATAACGTGTACATTGACCACTAATAACGAACCATATGTTGTCAATATTACTGCAAATTTATTGTGCTATTTTTGTGATACACAAATGATATGGAAAGACTTGGTCTATTTATTTGTATTGTTTGTTATTCCTATGATACTTGTTTACAAAACCCAATAAAAAGTTTTCTTTAAAAAAAAAAACCAATTTAGGCATAAGTACATAAATGCAAAGCAAAAATGACAATAAAGTTTCCGATACTGGTCTTAATGGACTTGTCTGTGTTGTTATGTTATTGGATGAGCATTTTAGGTATTGTGCATTTTCTGGATTAGTAGTTTTTATCAGTTTGTGTTCTATTTTGTTAAGTCACTTTGAGACGTTTGCGTGTGTGTATAAGTTGATTAACAAATGTAACCATCACCACCCAGAGAATGTACTATTCAGATTAGAGCGTTGCCAAGGCACTTTTCTGTTTTTTGTTACAGACTCTGCTTCTATGCATGACCCATTGAACACGGACAATGTGAAACTTTCCCTGGAGTAGAGATAAGAAAATGATGGGTAAGCTTTCCCATCCAAATTACCAGGTATCCAGCTGCTGCTAAAGTCACAGAAGGAGATCTGGTTTTTATAAAGGTGCCAAGCAGCCCTGCTCATTTGTCACTGGGGATCTTGTGTGGGGCTACAAACACAAAGCAGTTGCAGCATTGACCTGATGAGGGTTTCATATGGGGGGGGCATTAAATTTTGTGGTAGTTGATGGTTCCTCCTTTGTCAGGAATAGAGTTACTACTACAGTGGTATCTCAGGTTACATACGCTTCAGGTTACATACGCTTCAGGTTACAGACTCCACTAACCCTGAAATAGTACCTTGGGTTAAGAACTTTGCTTCAGGATGAGAACAGAAATCGTGCGGTGGCAGCAGCGGGATGCCCCATTAGCTAAAGTGCTGCTTCAGGTTAAGAACAGTTTCAGGTTAAGAACGGACCTCCGGAACGAATTAAGTACTTAACCCAAGGTACCATTGTACTTGATCTGAAGAGTCATTGTGAACTGAAGAAAGGAAGGTATTTCCAGCCCTTTGACATCCTAGAATAAAACATACATTTCCCCCAGAAATCATTTGATCGTCCACCAGAGGGATCGAAAAAGGGCATACATTGTTCCCAAGTTCTCTTGGAAGAAGAGAGCAATCAAGTCCTTCCCTGTGGACGAAAATGTTTCTGGAGCTAACAGCTGTGGCTTAGTCCGTGCTGCTGAAGTTCATTTGTTACAAAAAGTGGTCTTTGGACAATTGTGTGTCAATGCAGGTCTTTGAACAGCTCCAGCAATCCTTCATCGCTTCCTAGCCACTGTAGTTTGGGCGGAAATTGCTTTCACATACCATGAGAATATAGGAGTCTTCTTGTTTTTATGGATGTAATTGTTTGGTCTGGAATGATATCACATCATGCCCACTCAGGGCATACCGGTGACAAACACCAGTACTTGACCTGAAGCTGCCGAATTGAAGTTGTTAGCCAGGGTATTTTGAGAACAGATTGTTCTACTTCCAACAACGAGGTGGAAAAGAATACCCTAGCAGGATGGAGAGAGACAGTCAGACAGACAGACCCAGGCTCTGTTCAATATCAGAATATGAATCAACGCACAATAACAACAGAAAGCATCCTCCCTCTCTGATATCTCTAGGGCCTGTCTTGTTGCTTGGCAAACGGAAGCTGTGGTGGTGGATTCTGAGTACTGTCAAATTGTGGCCAGATTATCAATTATCTCATATACTAGCAGGATACCCAATCATTATGATGGATGGTTGTGGCAGGAGTTAGGCAGGAGAGCACTGTGGGAGCTGTTCTCTAAGCACAAAAACACATTGCATCTGCTTGTAGGATTCCTAATACGATCCCTGCATTACTTACATGTAGGGCGTAATCCTGTCTACAGTGTGAAATGAGGCTATGCTTTTTGCCCTGGCATTGCAGCTTCTACCTTTGGCAAGAACATACAGAATGCCATTTTTGTAAAGAAATCTCAATGTACTTCCTCAGGAGTAGGGACTCTGCGTGACTGGTTGGGCTCATGCATTGGACTTTGGATAGAGAACCTCATTGCAAAATTCAGAGAAGTGCAAATTTTGAAGGAAGGATGCTTTTCAGTTTGCTTGTTGTTTCAGGAACTGCAAATTAGGAATTACATGGGTTGCTCTTTAAATATAAACAGAACCAAGTTCCTCCCCTTCCCACCCCCAGTCATAGAGCAGTATTCAACATTTTGATCCTCCACCCAGTGTGAACGATTGCAATCCTTCTACCTCCTCTTTCAATCAGTAAAGCTTGCTGGATATTCCAGGTATTCTTGTTTTGCAAGTAAAAGTGGCGGCCTAATTTCCAGGCACAGTATGAGATTTAAAAGCCACAGTTTCGGAAAGGTACCTTCAGGGAATCAAATCACTCTAAACCAGTCCCTGCAGCAGATACAATATCCTCCTCATTTATTTCTTGACACCCGTACAGCCAGGCATATTAAATCTATAGCCATGCACAGTTCCTATTTACTATGAACACTTAATCTGATGCACTGCCAGTGGGAAATTCGTGTGAGAAATGTAACTATGATTATGGCAGTTCTTAGCCTGTGAGCTGCTGAATTACTGTAAAGTATGATTTGGTAAGGAAAAGGAAAGAAATTATCAGAATTCTTGTTAAAGAGAGTGGTGGGACAGAAGGAAGAAAAGAAGTATGTACCTAGACCCAGCCTGTCAGGTGCTGTTGGGTAGGTGGATGGGAATCTGTCAGTTTCAGTGTCCCATTTTTGCAATTTCACATTTCTACAACATCGCAAAATACAGCTTTGCCACAATACACTAGAACCCTCTGGGATCCAGTCCCATTGCAAGAGACACAGAACACAGCAAGATGCTTCATGCTGAATCAGACCATTGGTCTACCTAGACTGGCACTGGTCACACCAAGGTTTCCCAAACTTGGGTCTCTAGCTGTTTTTGGACTACAGTTCCCATCATCCCTGACCACTGGTCCTGCTAGCTAGGGATGATGGGAGATGTAGTCCAACAACAGCTGGAGACCTGAGTTTGGGAAACCCTGGTCTACACAGACTGCTACTGTAGGATCTCCAGGGCTTCAGACATACCTGGAGATGCCATCAGCGATTGAACCTAGGACCTTTTCCAGGCACAGCAGACACTCTTCCACTGAGCTGCAGCCTTTCCCCATGCCTGCTGAGCACTGACAGTCCCAAGAGTTCATTTGCAAATGCCTTTTAATGGTGCCGCTTACCTCCCCAATTGCCTTGCAGTTATTTAATTTGCCTCTCCAGAGTATTGTGATCATCTTAATTTCCCCAAGGATCTCCTTTTATTTTGTTTTGCTTCTGCTAGTGCAATCGAGTGCATTTGATGTACATTTTGTATATCGCTGCGCACCCTTGAGCTGTCAAAATGCAAGCTCAAATCAACATTGATCCTCCACCCTCAAACACCACACTTTCGGAATGGCTTTTTTTTGTGTGTGTGTGCAATTGAGACAGCAGACTGTTCACATGTCGCAGTTCCTGTTTCTCAAAAATTCTGGTTGAACGTGGGGCCATTAGCACAGATTTCTTCCAGATACCTCGCAAAATCTCGGTCTGCACGTTTTTCTGCATGGTTTCTGAGACGAGTCCACATGGGACTGTTTGCTTCTGCAAATGTCCAGACATAGGACTCTGCTTTCTACGATACGATAATCTTTATTGCCATTGTCCCATACAGAACAACAAAATTGAAAAATCTACATCAGACATTCAAAAACCAACAAGCCTGCTATCCCAACTATCCCAGCTTGATTAGCCCCTAAAAACTCTGATATCCCATAATTGAATACCATATACTCACATAGAGACTACCTTACACTGCGTTTAAAACCGAAATCACATTTGGATAGAAACTGTTTCGCAGGCGGCTAGTCCTAGTCTTTATAACCCTGTACCTTCTTCCAGAAGGCTGAAGCTGAAAGAGATCATTTCTGGGGTGCGCACTGTCCTGCACTATCTCTGCAGCTTTCTTATGGCACCTGGAATCATAGATTTGATCCAAGGTGGGAAGAGTGCACCCAGTTATTCTCTCCGCAGTCTTTACAACCTTGGATAGCATTGTTTTTTCCCTGACCGTGCAGCTCCCAAACCACACACACAGACCATAAGTTAATACACTTTCAACAGTACAATGGTAAAATGCCATCAACAGGTCCTTTGAGAGATTATTTTTCTGGAGGATTCTCAGAAAATATAACCTCTGCTGTGCTCTCTTCATCAGGTCTTTGCTGTTTTTTCCCCAGGTTAGGACCAGATCAGACTATTGGTCCATCAGGTCTTTACTGACCAGCAGTGGCTCTCCAGGTTTTCAGGCAGGGAACATTCACAGGACTTTCTGGAGATGCCAGGGATTGAACCCAGGGCCTTTTGCACGCAAAGTAGATGCACCATCACTGAGCTACAGCCTTTCCCCTACTGGGAGGCAAAACTCAGCAATCAAGGTAAAGGATCCTGCATATTTTATTCCAGTTTATGCCCAGCATGGCAAATGTTTCACCATTCTGGATATATCCATGCTAACAAATTTATATTGGTTTTTGACCAAATACCAACTTGGTTAACTTCTGTTAAGCTTGCCATTCATTCCTAGGGCCTATCCAGATGGTGCTGAGTAACAAATATGTAGTTGTTTACACATTTAAAGCAAAAGATCCCAGTATCATAATGGGAAGTCCTTCTGTTTTGAAGATGCTCCTAGCATAATGCACTGATATTGTCACTAGTAAAGCGTAATTATTTCCTTGGCTGGTGAGGTTATTGCTATTTTTCAAATTAATACTTTATTGCTCCCCCCCCCCTTTTATGTAACACATTTAACACATGCGGAAGTAGGAGATGAGGGAGAAGGGGAGTAACAGAGGGGATAAAGATTAGGCTATAACAGTACTGTACCTTACAGCTCACAGCAATGCTCTACAGATGCTGAGAGTGTTATTGCAGCTTACTCTGGGTCCAAAAGAGAGCAACCTAGGTGTTATGTACTGAGCTGAATCCTAGAACAATAGGATCCAGAATGCAGCAGGATCCGCAGGAGCCACCCAATCCAGTCCCAGGTGGAAGTGAATCAGCGACCTGCAGGAGCAGCCAATCAGGCTTCTGGAGGAAGTGAATCTGCAACGTGATTGGCATACAGGAGCAGCCTGGAATTAGCCAATCACTTGGGGCCCATTGTGTAAATAATGTATATACAGCTACACATTTTGGGGAAAGGTTCATTCATTGCTACTATGAGCTGAATAAAAAGCATGAAATTCACACTCGACTCCGAGTATATTTCACTAGGCACTATGTTCAACATACACTAATCATATAACCCATGTAGATAATTCCATGTCCCACTACTGAAACATCTGCAAAGGGCTTTGGAGGCAGCTCCATATGTATATTTTTGCTGGCCCAAAATGGACCAGGAAGGGTGCTCTTTACCCCAGTGGAGTTATGGACAAGACTGTTTTCAGTCTGTAAACTGAAGGCAACACATTTGCACTTAAGCTGCTGTGGTGTGGCATTAACCCAGATGTTTTCAACCTTTTTGAGTCCATGGCTTCCTTAACCAACTACATTCTTTCTGCAGCACTCCTGTGGGGCTCAGGACCCAGTTATGTCACCCTTTGCCTGCAGAGCTGGCAGCCTCTCACCCTTTTTCGGACACCCTCCCTTGTGGAGTGTGCCCTCAGCCTACTCTCCTCTCCCCTCTCCTTGGGACTCCTCCAGGCAGCTGCTGCTGCTGTCCCTGGTCTCTGAGCCACTCCCACCCGCACCCCAAAGAGAGGTGCCTCATCCCAGAAGTACCATTCGCGTGTGGAGGTTATAGCCAGGGCTGCTGCAGTAAACAGCTGTTCAAGCCTTTGGGAGGCAAAGACACAAGAGGGCATCAGAGGATGGAAGGAAGGAAGGAAGGAAGGAAGGAAGGAAGGAAGGAAGGAAGGAAGGAAGGAGGCCAGTGTTGCCCGTGGCACCCCTGACCATCATCCAAGGCACCCCAGGGTGCCACAGCACACTGCTTGAAAACCACTACATTAACCTATTTTTGGTCTGGTGCTAAACAATGATTGATGGAACTTAATTTGCCCAACAGGTTTGCTCCATTGTTGACATTTCTATGCTCTTCAGTGTGTGCACTCAGTAAATATTTTCTGCAGAATACACATCCAATCTCCAGGTTGCACATCTCATGCTTTGCTGCAATAACAGGGCATTTTTAGCACTAGACGCAAAGGCAGGCTCTCTGTCCTTCTTCCTGCAATCTGTCATTTCCCTTGCTTTCATATTTAGTTCCATGAAAGACTGAACACCACCGCCCTTGATTAAACACTGGGTTAAGCATGTGGCTCGCTCTCTCCCCAGCTCTGCTCCATTTTCTAAGTATCTCACCATTTTGCAGAACCCCCTTGCATTATGTGTTTCTCAAACGGCTCATTAGAGCTTTTGTTCCCACTTTCCATTGTCACAAGCACTGGTACTCTAATTCCACCAAAGGAACTGAAACGGAAAAAATACGAGAGCTTGTCACTGCTGGCAAAGGCATGAATCAAATGCCATTTAGCAAACAGAAGCCAAAGGTTACAGTTTGCATTTATAAGAATGTTCTTTTTTAATATGAGGGGTGGGAGGGGTGGGAACCCATTGTACTTTTCTAGATTCAGCCAAACCACACTTAGCAGTCCATGTTACCTATGATTAGGGCTGTCAGAAAAGTCCAGTGGAGGTGGAAGTGGAAATTGCCCATGTTCGCTTATTCATCTCAGGTCTGGAATGGAATTCGGTCCAGCAAATACGATCGGCACTGGCCGTAGCTGTTACTTTCAGCCCATAAATGATACATAATTGATTATGGCTTTCCCCCATTTGCATTGTATCATCTTTGTATGAGTGGAATAACATAATGATAGCATAAGTTACATAAATCATGTAATTATGTAAATTACATATATTATGCAATTTCAGCATGGCAGACAATGAGACAAATGATGTAGGTTTTGGTGGAAGATGTATTGCAGTGGAACGGAAACAGTGCTGCAGTGACAAATACAGGGCAGAATGGGAAACATGTCTTCTTACATCCCTCCCTATGACGTCAAATATCTATGGATGTGGTGGAAAATTCCAGTAGCCAGATTATTGATGGGAACATCTGGCTGACAACATGTGACACCATTGCTATAAGCATCTGCCCATCTACTACTGAGCTTCTTTCAAGGTCATAGAATCATAGAATTGTAGAGTTGGAAAGGACCCTAAGGATCTTCTAGTCCAGGCATCCCCAAACTCAGCCCTCCAGATGTTTTGGGACTACAATTCCCATCATCCCTGACCACTGGTCCTGTTAGCTAGGGATGATGGGAGTCGTAGTCCCAAAACATCTGGAGGGCCGGGTTTCTAGTCCAACCCCCTGCAATGCAGGAATATGCAGCTGTCCCATACAGTGATTGAACCTGAATCTTGGTGTTATCAGCACCACATTCTAACCAACTGAGCTATCCAGGTCCTTGTGTTATTTTAGAAAGCCTTGAACAACTTAGGTCCAGGATACTTCAGGGACTGCCTAAACTCTCGTCCCTCAGCTCAATCACTGGTGCTTCCCCGAGTTGGTGAGGTTCATTTGATAACAAAAGGAAACCAAGCCTTTAGTGTCACTGGCCCAGTCCTCTGAAATACTCTGCCAACAGAGATTCAGCAGACACCGTCTCTGCCAACTTTTATATGCCTGCTGAATATTTCTCTATTCCATCAAGCTTATGCAGGCAATTAAGAATGCATTGTCCCACATATGATTTCTAATTTTAACTTTTTAATATGGTTTTTGCTGTATGGTTTCACGTACAGTTTTTGTGAATTGGCGGTGTATAAACATTTTTATAAATAAATGAGAAGACCGCAGAGGAGTCACTCCAAACAAATGATCCATTCTGTGATTCTACAGCTGCAGGAGAGGGGAACTCTCTCAACCAACCTATCCATCTCTGCAACAGCAAGTGGAAACAGAATACTGCAACATTAGCCAGGCCATTCAAGACCAAACTGAGCCTTTTTTCTGCAGACTTGTGCTATATATTTAAAATTCCTGGTGTAGTGACTCTCCAGGCTGCCCCAGCTAAATCCTTCCCTTTACCCTATCTTCCTCCATGCGTTATGCCAAACATGTGGCTGAGCTCTTGCAAGAGTTTCCAGCTCCCCCTGCCAACTTGTGTCATGCTGGAGGGAGACATCCAGAATGCCTTTGACCTCCTGCGTCACCACCAGCCTTTCCCAGAAGCCCAGCGGTTGCAAACTTCTCCCTACTGTGTTTTGGTTCAATACTAGATCCCATGGAGGAGGCAAGGCAAAGGTTGCAGCCCATGGCAGCTCCAAGTGAGCTACTTGCTCCAGGGAAGTTTGGGAGCAGACTGAGGCCTTTCAGGCCTCTTGATTCAAAAACAAACTCCTCTGGGCTCCATCCCCTTGCAGAGAACATCAGCCTTCAGTGACCTTGATTCCAATGAAACAGAGCTCTGAGTAAGTGCTGAATCCCCAGCAGTCTCTCACCACTCAGAGACCCTCTTTATCCCATCTCCTACCCACTGTTCTTGCAGCAGCAACCACTATCAGAATATACGGAAAACTAGAATCTTGGCAACACATTTTAATGAGCAAATGTCAGAGAAAGAGACTCATTTTCAATTTCCTTGGTCTGCCATTTGGATCCTTTAATGCAGAAAACGCACAGCTGTGCCTGTAATCATGTTGGCAGTGTGGTGGCTATGGAACGGAGCTGTAAGCGGAAAGTCAATTTTTGCCTCTCCTATGAACTCTAAAGGTGGCCTCACAGGCAAGGCACTCTCTTTCTTAGCCCAGCATCTGTAATATGTGGGTAGTCACGTTGCCCTACCTTACAGGGGCGTGTTGCCAAGCCTGCATGTGTCCCTGCGTATACATCATACTAACCTGGGTATACTCATGGAAGCAGGATATTTGGGATCCTTTATCCAGAGTTCATTGCATGTGATGGGGATAATGTGCTGCACCTTTAATCACCATAATTACTTAGGAGAATGAGCAAGAACTACTGAATCCCAATTAGAATACAAAAATGAAGGAAAAAATGTTTATTTCTTTCCAGAATCGAAATGATATCAGCAAGTAAAAGGGCCTTGCAGCGTGAAGTGCAGTGTTTGCAGAATCATTTAGACTTTAAGTCAGGCATAGGCAAACTCGGCCCTCCAGATGTTTTGGGACCACAACTCCCACTATCCCTAGCTAACAGGACCAGTGGTCAGGTAAGATGGGAGTTGTAGTCCCAAAACATCTGGAGGGCCGAGTTTGCCTATGCCTGCTTTAAGTGCTGGTACAAAAATATTTTAGGCTGCACTAAAGCCACCCTGATTGGACCAAGAGCTTCAACACAGTAGATGGACGCAGAGGATCT